GTAATGTTGGGATTAGTTTCAGTGCTGATGTGCGTATTGTAATCGTAATGCTTTATAGCCTTGTTCCTCCAATGGTCAATCCTCTGATTTACTGCTTGAGAGCGAAAGACATAAGATTATGTTTGTGGAAACAGTTTTACAGAATTGTGCCTCCAAAGGTACAAGTTTCAACAATTAGTACCTGAGAAATCACTGTAATGATGTTAAATGAAATCAAATTTCTGTTTAAAAATGTATTTCTCAAAATCAAGACTCCTTACGATTTATTTTATTATTACTAAAGGATCAAAATATCATAAAAACATTGTGTTCCATGATAATGTAGGACTCAACATTATCTCAGAGCTTGGAAGCCTCAGTTTCAAGTCATATATGTGGCTGTTATGTGTGGCTTGTGTATTTTTCTAATACATATGATGATTTTATTTAGACACAGTTTTTTCAACAGTTCAAAAGCATTCATTTTATTATTTTGTTAATCTTTTTTTTTTTGGGGGGGGTGGGGTAAAATAATATTCTAAATTGACCTGAGAATAAGTGCATAGTTGTGTTGTAAAACAGACAGAGGTCATGATGGAAATTACAAAGTTATAGAATATCAGCATGCATGTGTGTTTATCCAATGAGTCTAAGACATTTGGTTTCAAATTGACGTTTTATTACTACTTTTGATAAATTCAACAAGTGCGCCATGTGTTCTATTCTCAAAATCTAACATTGATTACCAGTATGTCCAATTTGTGGTCTTGTCTCAAAACTCAATTTGTATTTCCTTTTTTTTTCATTTTCCAAGTAATTCGTCTATGCTTACTATCTGTTGACCATTTTGTATATTAGAGTATCCAGCTTAATAAATAAAATACTTTAGTGTAATAAGTTTACATGAAAACAACAAATCAATTAATCTGTCATTTAACACTAGAAGTCACCCCCCTGAAGTCCCGAAAGAGGGTCAAAAGACCCTTAGTCCAAACGGACGATTCTGATGGCTCCAATTAGCATCCTTTCATTTGTAAATGTGGCTATTGCCTTAGGAATCAGCAGGGGACAAACCCTCTCCTTCTGCTTAGCAATATGAGACATGCAAACATCTTTCTTTGTTGTAAAAACAAAATGTATAGACATCGTTGTCGACACGATGATGTTGTCGTCGACATCGTCGACATCATTGTCGACATCGTCGACGTCGTCGTCAACGTAGGTGCAGAGTTTTGGGCCAAAGGGGGGATATGTAGGGGCACAGTTCTGGGCCAAAGGGGGGATATGTAGGGGCACAGTTTTGGGCCAAAGGGAGGATATGTAGGGGTACAGTTTTGCCGCCCGATGATATTCTCGCTCTGTTTCTCAAGTCCTGTTTAAAAGTTTTTGCTCTGAAGATTTGTTGTGTTGCAAAGAACATAAGTGGATGCCACTGTATTTTCAAAGCTACAGTAAAAAATTGTAAATATAGTATCTGATTCAAGTATTGTGTGTTTAGCAAGGTTTTGTCTTTTTGTTTTCAATGAATATATCAAATCAGTCAGAATTGACTAGGAGCACAAAAGTTATTTTGTGGGACAGTTTAGAAAATTTACAAATACCACACATTTACACCTGTGGCAGAAAGCAATTTACAGCTACTTAAAAAGCTGAAGTCATAAATGCAGAAACACTGACAGGAGTGGATCATTATTTTTTACCCTTCGATCATGTTTGGAGCAAAGAAAAACACAATGGTACCAAAGAAGACCTACACTGCTTTGCAAGTTTTGGAATTACTGACTGCTATGGATGACTGCGAGTCCAATAGAGGAGAGGAACTAGCTTTTGATGAAATAGATGATTCAGACACTGATTTGAACTTAGAATTTTCTACAGATGAAGACAAATGGTAAATGGACTGAACTTATAGAGCGCTTTTCAAGTCCCTCCGGACCCCAAAGAGCTTTACACTAACAGACATTCACCCATTCACACTCACATTCATACACTGATGATGGCAAACTGCACCGTAGCCACAGCTACTTTGTAAATATTGTAAATAAAACTTGCTGCTAATTCCTGTTTATGTACTGTATCTTGATTCCCTCAGCCATGTCTGCAGCCCAAAACTCTGCATCTACATATCCCCCCTTGGCCCAAACTTTGCATACATGGCTGAGGGAATCAAGATACATAAACAGGACTTGGCAGCAAGTTTTATTTACAATATTTACAAAAACAGCTTACACAAGCAATATATACATTTTATTTTTACAATAAAGAAAGATGTTTGTAAGATACTATATTTACAATTTTTTTTACTGTAGCTCTGAAAATACAGTGGCATCCAGTTGTGTTCTTTGCAACACACCACATCTTCAGAGCAAAATCTTGTRAACAGGAGCCCTTGAGAAACAGAGTGAGAATATTATCAGGCGTGGTGGGTGTGTCTGGATTAGCTGCAGCCATATGAACAACAAAAGGCAACAAATGGCCCTCATTTTACTTATTTTCAAAACAAAAGCACCCGTTCACAGCTGATTTAGAATGTGAGCTAAAATTCTTGAGCTCAGTCGATCCCTCTCTGGGTTCCAAAGGTAGAAATATTAAATGACCCATCTCTGGGACTTCTAGTGTTAATACATTTATTAGTTAAGTAGTATAATGTATGCATATTTTACAAACTACCACTGCTATTTTTCTTGCATAGTCCAAGAAAACCTAACATTTCTATTAGTCAGTTAATTGTTTAACCACACGGGCCATAAAGGGCCTGACTAATTTTGAACACGTTTAAATTTGTATTTCTCGCTCTGTTGATCTGTTATGTTCTGTAGTTGTGACAAAACTTGTCCTGTTTGATTTCATGTTTATTGTTTCTAATATTAACCACAGAGGTAGAGCTGTGACTGTTTTTGAGCATCAGTATTAGGAAAATAAATCTATTTTTCATGAAGGTAACTATCTTTTAAACCAAAACAGGCTGTTTAAGGTAACATAAAAGAAGTTAAAGTCAGGATCATGACATGCATAGTAGCTACAAGCATCCACCCATTTTCTTTACCCACTTTTTGTGAAGGATTAGGGGAAGTTGGTGTCTGTCTCCAGCAGTCACTGGGTGAGATTCAGGGTACACACTGAACATGACAACACTCCATCAAAGGGCCACACAGAAATAAATGAAAAAGTTTACCATTCACACACAAACTCACAACGAGTAAGAGTTTAAACTTCCCAAACTGCACGTCAGACATCCTGAGAGARTATAGAGATGATGGACAATAACTCCACCTTCATTACATGTCATGCTGGGAAGTTATTTTAAGCAGGTAACAAACAGATGAGTGGTCAGAGTACTCTGCTGCTCTGCTTAGGAAAGGTATTTCCTAACTAAAAGAACTAAAAACATGATGAATATTTTGTTTAAAAGGTAATAAATGTAAGGAATATTGGAAAAAAAAGGTTTATTTTTCAATAAATATTTAATTAATATGGTTTTTTAATCAAGTGAAGTAATG